AATTAATTACTCCACAAGAAATAAGGGGCATTAAGGGATATTGGTAAACAAGTATGTTTACCAATCAATCCCATTCCCTTTTAATTATAATGGCCATTGTGATCAAAGCACCCTATAATGACGTTGCAACAAAATAGGTTTAGGTGGGGTAAATTTTTTTTCCAGAATTCCACCGTTGGGGTAGCTAGAAATTTTGTTTCGAAAAAGGTGGGGTAATGATTTTTTCTTACTGCATTACACTTTCTCTTCGGCCCCCACCCCTGCCATAAATAATGTCCCTAATCAAGAACCATTCCAAAACACTAAAGCCGAATTAACTTTCCTCTATTCACGTACTTTGGAAAATCCCAATTTAGTTTGGAACACGTTTCAACTTTTGTTTAGATGTAGTTACTGTAGGTTATATGGTGGTACTACTTAAGCATACATGTGAGGTCACACTACTTTCTTGCATAATGCATTATTACCAACGGCAAGTAAGTTACCTTCCATGTCTTCTTAAATGACCTCTTCGAGATGTCTTCGGTACCGTAAGCAAAGGTAGAAATACCACAACGTTATACGCGAAAGAGAATTATGTCTCAGTATTATGCCGAAATAATTCGTTTGGATTTTTTTCTTTCTAAATGTTAAAAAATTAGCCAAAAGCTCTTTAGTAAAGAATCACTGAACAGAAGTTTTATTTATTAAAGGGAAATAGCAACATATTTTTTTATTTTCTCATTTAAAAGAACTTTTAAGATTATATATAATACTCTTTTACCGTTTTTTCAAATCTTGATTACTTCTACAAATATTTTGATTGAAAGGAATAAAATGCCCACCATCTTCAATTTTTGTAGATATGCATGTCAGTCACAGCAGGGGTCACGCAACATTTTTATCTAGACAACCACTAATCATTTTGCATTCAAAACTATACTCTGTCTGCCCTTCGAAATATCAAGGTCACTCAAAAACTTTAAAACATCTACCAATCAATATTTAGTCAGGAACGAATACTTTTATATGGTTAATCCTTGTTGTGACGTCACCAAACTACCGTAATGAGATAAAAAAATTATCCAAGATGGCGGACATCTCATTACTTCAAGTGAAAATATTTCACGAACTAAGCAAGATATGAAAAATCGGTAAAAGAAGTTAATATGTAGTTTCAAAAGTTCTTTCACATGAGAAAATAAAAATTTATATTTCCATTTCCCTTTAAGAGCGACACTGTGTTGTACCTTGACAAGTCTCCTTTCATCTCTTTTCCTCCCCTGTTATTCGCACTACAGTGGATTACTAAAATAGAAATTGAAGCACGTTTAGACGTGGAAGAAGATCAGTCAATATCAATTTATTGACGGGGGGGGGGGCAACCATTCTCGCAATAGTTTCTGAAAGCTGTTCAACGATAGCTGCATAACTGTGTAATAAAGCTGTCACAAAGCCTTGATAGGCTATAAATAAAAAGCTATATATACATGTATATTGCATGCAATTTATCATAATTGCAAAAAAATTGAAAGAAGCAAGATTTTCATTTTGCGAAAGATGGTCATATGTTGCTAACAGGTTGGTAACTCCCAATATTTCGCGAAGTGTCTGGCACTGTGCGATGGGTATGATAAGTGCAGTATGATGTCAGGATTCATGCAGATATTTCCAAAACTTTTCCATAGCTTCGTATAGGATTTGCTCGATAATTAATATTTTAATAATTTTTTCCGTTTAGCACACGTGTGGTTATGAATATACGAACAATCTTCATCGAATGTTTACAGACATGAGTTTAAGTGGAGATCTCAATAAAAGTTTTAGTGATGGATTGGCGAACACCGACCGCAAACTGGAAATCAGCGCATCATTTCTTATATTGCAGGTATCCTAATGTTGTGTGACAGAGTTGTTCACGGTTAAACCAAGTCACTGATTAGTTAGTTTGTGTAAAGAAACTTCACTATATCGATCATAATGTTCAAGATTATAGTTTGGTACAGTTCATACAAATTCCCTGTCTGAATTCTGAAACAGAATTGTTTTAAGAATTAATCAAAACTGTGATTTGATTCCGATTTCGGTCATTTTATCCTTATGCATTATACGAAGTGTTTGGCTGATCAACTGTATGTTAAGTGCATTCGCAAATGCAGCGCGGATTATTGCATCAAGCCACCATTTCTGCAAGATCCATCGAGGCAAGATCCGTCGAGGCAAGATCCATCGAGACAAGATCCATCGAGGCAAGATCTATCGAAGCAAGATCCATCGAGGCATCTATGAAGAAATTTGTCCTTAAAATAGAGCACCATGCTTCCTGTAGTGTGGTTCACTCATGACGCTACGCTCAAGCCAGGGCAAGAAACAGGAACTTGTATACATTAGACCTGGATTAGTATGCCCAAAGAATTCGTTTGGTTGTAAAATCGTTCAGTTTTATAATCTGTTCAGTTTTATTTGCTTTTGTTCGGTGTGAGTTTAGTTGTATTATGTTCAGAAGTAATTCTCTCTTTTCTGAAATACTTTGTTCAATTTCCCTTTTCATTATGGATTGTATTTCTTCCATGTCATGTCGCATTATCGGAGAAATAGTTTTGAAGCCATTCTTGGCCTTCTCAACATCTCCCATTTTCGATAAATCTAAAACAATACAGGTTTATTCGCATATGAAAATGAGAAGTTCGGCGCAAGTCAACTTTTTGGCGTATACTAAGGAAGTATTTTATACGTTTCGGTATGGTACGCTTGAAGTGGAAAACGGCCTTAATTTCAGTGAAATCCACCTCGTAATTAAACATGTTAATGCTTTAAAACTTTGATATATATCTTTCAGTCAGGGGCGTGGCCTCTAGCTCAGATTGCTGTTTCTACACTAACAATACCTCAAGAATTTGTTGATGCAATTACATTGGTACGTTCAATCTAATTTACAAATAGCAACATATATACTGTGACATTAGAGGAAAATTTATAGAGATTTATTACTGCGGATTTCATCGCACTGTGGCACTCATCAAAATATTTGTCTTCATAATTTTTTATATAATGCTCAACTTTAATAATTGTTAATGAACATGTTCCTTAATTTTTAACAGTTTGAAGAGTTCTATAACAAGCGATTCAATGGACGGAAATTATCGTGGCTCCATCACCTTTCAAATGGTAAGATAGTCATTAATTGTTGCCTTAATACCATTTTTCCAGAAATTGGAAATTAATACATCATTCGATTCCATGCTACTGTCTCGGCGTTTTTCGTTTGCACCAACACATCAGGTGCGGAAAAAGTATCTCACCACGGAACCATTGGTCACAGTAAATTTTTTGAGTTCCCACAAAATATTTCCCCAAGAAAGAAAAAAAATAATTGTAAAAATTTGGATAAAAGGAGAAATTCGGTGGAAAAATTCTAACCAATAGAAAGAATGTTACCTGCACTGTGGGTATGACCTCAGATTAAATGCAATTATATGTGCATCTATCTTAATATAGTGCAATAGTAAGTGCATGTATATAGACTACAGAATGATATAGCAAATGTTTTATGGTAAATGCATTTTTAGGCAATCTGAGACTCTTAATTTTCAAAATTTTCCCCAGTAGTGTTCTTTTTTGGCATCTGTAAATTTACCTTAATTAACATCAGACCCCTGATGCATGTTATTTAAAATAATTTTATGTTATATTCCTAAAAGTATTATTAACTAAAGATTCTCAGTGCGCTGAAATTATTTTTCTGTTAATAAAGCATGACATTCAGTTTGACAACTTGCTGGTGTTACACCGTTACAGCGTCCGAGTGTCGATTTACTTGATTATTCACAGAATTTTTTTGCAATGTTCCCTTTCGTCCAAGAAAGAAAAATATTTGTCCCACCTCTGCTACATATCTACATTTTGAGCATGGTGTATGCCAGGTTGTGTCTATCGCTTTCAGTGGTAGATGCCAAAGAATGTCACTCTACAATGGCAGATACTTCGCAAATATTTTATGGGGGTAAATAAATTTATGTTGCTAATATTTCGCCTTCTTTCTGTAGCTCGTAATCTCTGTTAAAGAAAAATGGCAAAAGAAATGATCTCGTTTCTCTAATTTGAAAGAATTCTCAGTTTATTAACAAATTCGTTTGACAAATTCTCCCAATCTATCTTAATTTTTGAGATATTTGGAACCAAACATCCTGCCATCCGCCATCTTGTTTTAGATCTAATTACATGATGTCACAACCAGGGTAGACGTTTTAAACTAAAAAATAATGTCAGCTTAATATGCATAGAATTGCGTGTAAGATACAAAATAATTTCACCCAGATTGTGACCTGACGAGTATCCGAGTCAGATGTGCATATCCAAAGGTGGATATGCATAATGATTTTGTTTGAAATGAATGGTAATATCTTCTATACCAAGAATGACGATAATGAACATCTGTAAGTAAGTAGTATATACAGCATGAGCGACTGTGTTGTATAAGATATATACAAACTCGAGCGAAAGGAGAGAGGTTACTGTATATATATAGTTCGTGAAACGCAAAGATTTAAACAGTCGTGTTTTAAAATCATGGAAATGATTTTAACTGAGAGAGTCGAGGAAAAAGATTATGCAAATCAGGAGAATTTTGTGTGTGTGGATACAACACCTCATTTAAACATTGATTTCTTCATGAATTATTAATTATTTATTGAATCACTCTTCCAAAAGGGGGAAACTTAATTTTGATTGCTACATCCCTTTAACATTTTTGGGTAACATTTCGTGCCTAAATGATAGCCTATATCACAGCCTTCAAGGTAGTAAAACTGAAGTCTTTGTTACAGCTTCGTATTTTCAGAGTGAAGGCGCGATTCAGCAAGGCGACGCGATTTTTCAGTTTTTGAAACTTAACAAAACCGTCTATGAAAGGATATTTTAAATGGAACATAATTTGACCAAATAACTAAATATTTTAAAAACTTAAGCTAAAGTGACATTTAAAATCGCGGCTAGGAATCTCGCCGCGTTGTTGAATCGCATTCAGTTTGCATTTCTGGGCTTTTACTGAGGAATTACCCTCCCCCTAAACCCCCTTCCCCTAAACCCCCTCCCCTCCCCCTAAACCCCCTTCCCCATCCCCCTCTGTAGTCTCCGGTTCTGCCTCTATTAATGTACCAATATAATTAGCATATAACACACTACAATAGCCAAACTGCCATTGTCTTAAATTCTTGTTTGTTTTGTAGGGGAAGTTCGTTTGAACTTTTTAAAGAAAGGATATATCGTAACGGCATCAAGTTACCAAATGGCTGTTTTACTTTTGTTCAATCATTCAGAATCCCTTAGTTACAGGTAAAAGAAACAATTTATTATTCTACCTGCCGGTAACCGTGCACTTTAATGTTTTTGTTATTTATTGTTGTTTTGCTACGAGCGTGCATATTTGTACAAGTATTCTCCTATCATTAGCCATATGCCGTTTGAAACCGTGTGCAGTCTACGTATGCATTTTTCACGTATAGTTAAAAATTATTCACCGAAGCTGGGTGAAAGAAAGGTGAGGATATATATCCTTGCACTATTATTCAGCATATACCAAAAATAACGTATATTTTTGCACCATTCACCTCCGGACCAGAGGAGGGTGGAAGCTCTTCCCAGCATGCATCGCAACTCATTAATATTCACAATCATGATTTTTCATAATGTTAGTTGGAAAAGTGGTGGATATTTATTTCGATATTTCGCCACGAAAAGTTCGTATTTTTGAAGGTAAGTTTTTATAATTGTTTTAAATATGAGTCAAATTAAC